ATCATTGGCAAATATGTTCTCCCATTCAGTGGGTTGTCTTTTCATTTTGTTGATGGTTTTCTTGCTATGCAAAACCATTTTTAGTTTGATCTTGTTCCATTTGTTTATTTTTTCTTTTGTTTCCCTTGCCCAAGGTGATACGTCAGGAAAAAAAATTGCTAAAAGAAATATCTGAGATTTTATTGCCTATATTTTCCTCTAAGATTTTTATGGTTTTGAGTCTAATATTTAATTCATTTTTAGTTCATTGTTGTGTATGGTGTAAGAAAATGGTTTATGGTTTATTGTGTGTGTGTGTGTGTGTGTGTGTGTGTGTGTGTGTGTGTGTGTTTGCATATATTTGTCCAATTTTCCCAACACCATTTATTGAATAGATTTTCTTTACCCCATTGTATATTATTGTCTCCTTTATCAAGTATTAATTGACCGTAAAAGTGTGGGTTTATTTCTGGGCTCTTTATTCTGTTCCATTGATATATGTGTTGGCTTTTATGCCAGTGCCATGTTGTTTTGATTACTAGGGACTTGTAGTATGGTTTGATATTCTGCAACATGATTCCTCTATGTTTCTTCTCAATATTGATATGGTTATTTGGGGGTCTATTGTAGTTCCATATAAATTTGCGGAATATTTGTTCTAGTTCAGTGAAATATGCCTTTGGTATCTTTTTATTGTTTTAGAAAGGAGAGAGTAAGAGAAAGGGAGAGAGAGAAACATCAATGATTGAGAAATATCAATCAGCTGCCTTCTATATACTCTACACTGGGGACCAAGCATGTGACCCGAACAGGAATCAAATTGGTGACTTCTTAGTGCACTGGATGATGTCCAGCCAACAGAGTCACACAGCCCAAGGCACACCTTTGGTGTCTTGATAGGAATTGCTTTGAATCTGTAGATTGCTTTAAGTAGTATGTACATTTCAATAATGTTAATTCTTCCCATCCATGAACACAATATATGCTTCCACTTATTTGTAGCTTCTTCAATTTCTTTCTCCCGTGTTTTATAATTACTCAGATACAGGTGTTTTACATTCTTGGATAATTTATTCCTAGGTGTTTTTTTTATTCCTAGGTATTTTTATGCATTTGTAAATTGAATTTTTTTTTTAGTTTTCCTTTTTAATAGTCCATTATTGTTGTATAAAAATGCCACCAATTTCTGAATGTATATTTTTGTATCATGCTACTTTACTGAATTCAATTATTATTAATAGTTCTAGTAGTTTTGGTGGAACCTTCATTGTTCTCTATTAACAGTATCATGCCATCTGTAAATTATGACAGTTTTGCTTTCTCCTTTTCAAGTTAGATGCCTTTTATTTCTTCTTCTTGTCTGATTGTTGTGCCTAGTGCTTCCAGTACTATCTATACAGATAGTAGAGAAATATGCAAATTGGCTGTGACACCAACATGTAATGACAGGGACAGGGCTGTGGTGGAGAGCTCTCAGCATGCCTGTGCCAGGAGCCTGAAGGGTGTGGAGAGGGAGAGCAGATAGGCAGTTAGGAGAATCAGGTTAGGAGGGGAGTGCAGATAGGCAGCTAGGAGAATCAGGCCAAGAGGGGAGTGCAGATAAGGCAGTTATTCATGGTGGCCATGAAAACAACCAAAGAGGACTATACACTGAGTCAAATCAGCCAGGGTTGGATGCCAGATTTTATCAAATACTATTTCTGCATCTATTGATATGATCATGTGATTTTTATCCTTCATTTTTTTTAAAAATATTTTTTATTGATTTTTTACAGAGAGGAAGGGAGAGAGATAGAGAGTTAGAAACATCAATGAGAGAGAGTAATCAATCAGCTGCCTCTTGCACACCCCCTACCGGGGATGTGCCCGCAACCAATGTACATGCCCCTGACTGGAATCGAACCTGGGACCTTTCAGTCCGCAGACCGACGCTCTACCACTGAGCCAAACCAATTTCAGCCTTCATTTTGTTTATATGGTGCATCACATTTATGCAGACATTGTACTAACCTTGTATCCCTGGAATTAATCCCATTTGTTCAGGGTGTATGATCTTTTTAATGTATTGCTGAATCAATTTTGCTAATTTTTGTTGAGGATTTTAGCATCTATGTTCATCAGAATTATTGGCCTGTAATTTTTTCCTTTGTAGTGTATCTGGTTTTGGAATTTATAACCATTGCTTTTAACTCTAATAGGTTGCTTGTTTCCATTTCATTTAGTTCTTTTTCTGGAGATTCCTTTTTTCCCCTCTCATTTGGGGTTTATTTCTTTGTCCCTGTTTTAGCTATCTCTTTGTATTTGCTTCTATGTATTACATAGAACTGTTATGCCTCCCATTCTTTGTGGACTGGCTTAATGTAGAAAGTGTCTTGAGGTGTCTAGTGGTGCATTCTCTTTGTTCACCTGAGCTAGCTGCTCTAGAAATTCCCTTGTGTGTATTATTTGAGCTCTCCTATTGTAATTTGGTCTTGAATTGATGTCCCATCTGTGAGAGGATCTTCCCTCTGACTTGCTGCCAATAAGGTTCAACCCCAATGTTGACATGCCACCTGTTATATATGTACACGTGCTTTGGGTCTGCTATTTTTAGGGCTTGCTGGATTTTGCTCTGATGTTGTTAAATCTGGTCCCTTGGTGTTTCTATCCTGGACCTCCAGAGAGCTTCTCTAGTGAAGGTGAATGTGAGTCACTGTCCCTTTCTGGCCTTGGGAGACCTGACTCATGTCCAAGAGGTTGATGTCCTTAGTATTCCAGTAGTCGGGGACTTATTACCCAGAGGTTGTGTCTTCCTTGAGTCTCACACCTTGATTTTCCTGTTCTGAGCTGTACTCACTTCTCCAATAGAGGTGGTCCCACAGGTGTCAGCTTCAGGTACTTGGGTCCTGCTGGTGTTTGCCTCCTAGTGCTGTCTGGGGTGGTATCTGAAGCGAGGACCCAAACACTACTTCTGACTAATTAGATCAGGTGAAGACTCAAAGCTTCCAGAGACACATCTCAGCCTGCAGACTGATTGGAAGGAGTCATGAGTAACATTGGACAATTATCCACAGGTGAGATGAGGGTTTCCTTCAGGGTTGGGCAATTGCTTCTGCCTGGAGGCTAATTGTTATCCTCAGACTCTTAATAGGCCTCAGAAACTCCACAGGGTGGACAAGGGATTTTCCAATAGGGTGCATCAGTTGCTTCCCCCCACTCCCAGGCAAAAAACATCTGGATAGCAAAGGTCTGCCTAAGAAAAATGATCTCAGCAGTGTGAAGGAATGACTCAACACAGAAAACCAGAGTGCTTTCTAATCTCTAATCCCACAGCCCCCAACCCTGGCTTATGCTTACACAGCTCCAGTCCACCCTGCCCTCCCTCTGCTTGAGCTCAAGGTAAATGGCTGCACTCAAAATTTTGTTTGTTGGGTGGGCCTTTAAGTGGGTGCCTGCATTTCCAGCTATCTCACCCACTTAAAGGCCCATCCAACACACACAAAATCCCAGAGAGATAGCTGGAAATGCAGGCACCCACTTAAAGGCCCACTTAAAGGCAGGCAGCAACCTCCTTGCTTTTCACAGCCAGATGTTATGTGGGTACTCTTCTCAGTTCTCATGCTCTCTACTGGCAGTCCCAGCTTGGGAATGAGATCCCATAGTTCTCAGTAGTAACTCCCCCACAGCTGAGACCTTTCTCCGGAATTTCAGCTGCTGTCTATGGGAACTCAACCAGGCCTTACACGCCTCTGCCCTTCCTACCAGTCTCTATAGTCTTTCTATCCTTTGTTATCAGGGTTCTCTCCAGCTAATCTTCAGTTGATTATTCATGATGGTTTTTTGTATTTTAGTTGTAATTCCAGTTTGGTCCTGGGAATGTGTCAGTTTAGCATTCACTTACTCCACTGCCATTTAAAAATATATATATTTTATTGATTTTTCACAGAGAAAGGGAGAGGGATAGAAAGTCAGAAACATCGATGAGAGAGAAGCATCAATCAGTTGCCTCCTGCACACCCCCCACTGAGGATGTTCCTGCAAGCAAGATACATGTCCTTGACCGGAATTGAACCTGGGACCCTTCAGTCCACAGGTTGACACTCTATCCACTGAGCCAAATCAATTAGGGCTCCACTGCCATTTTTAATCTCAATCTAGCCATTTTAAAATTAAGACTGTTGCCTCCCTGTGGTCATTAACCATAAACTAATCTCAACCTTTTATCAATCTTATTAATTTCCCACTTTGAAAGGTTCACCTTAAACCAATTGAACCCTTATCCCAATTCCTGAAGATATAACTTACCCAAATATTTGCCTTTTGAGTTATTACCAAGACTCTGTCAAGCTGATGTTCTTCCTTGCTATAGCTTTAATAATTCAGCTTTGTTTGATCAACAGGTTTCTTTGGTGATCTTTGTGGGAAGTAAAACATTGATAGTCATATCTTTTTAAATATAAATGTAAATATTCATAGATAAGATGATATAATTTCTGAGATCTGCTCCAAAATTAATATTTTCAAATCAGAAAGTAGATAGGGGTAGGAAAACTTATAAAGTTTTGAAGATGGGAGTACATTATAATATTCTGTCTGCTTTTGTATGTTTTAAATTCTTTATGATAATAAAATAAGTTCTTTTTCTTCTTCTAGTCCTTAAGAGGAATGTTCATGAAGATCACATTAAAGTTACACTATCTGACCATGACTATCAGACTCATACCCAAGAGCATCCAGGCAAATGTAGCTTAAGTTATACTGAATTTTGCTCCTGATGGAAGGCAGTAAAGAGAAGACTGGTTATAGATTTGAGAGAAATAATTATTTTTTACTGCCCTCTTACAACACCCCTAATAATATAACTAATAGATATAACCAACTCAAATCATACATTTAAATATTGGTTAAAGGTGGTAGATAACATTTCCTGAGCTTTATTCAGAGAGTGAAACTGTGCTATAGTCTTCTGACTTCTTAGTTGTGCTTAAAATGTGCTCCCTCCTATATTCTGTTCTGGAAAAACAAAGCTTCTTATAATTTTGTTAGAACCTCTCACCCTGAAATGGGCAGTTATTATTATTACATACACACACAGAGTGATGCTCAATTTGAGGTTTTGAATAGCTATTCATATAAGTTGACTTTTCTGTGCATTTGTATCGAGGTGGATCCAGCTCAGGTTGATGTCCTGGGAACCAGTGAGGCTCTCGCTTAAATCCTGGGGGAGGAGAAAAGAGAAGACAAGTGGAATCAGTCAATAATAGGAGTCTTAATAACCAATTTCATTATTACTTCTGAGGGAATAGAGAGTGAGTCCTGTAGAATTCAGAAGAGAGAGGTCATTCACTCACTAATTCATTTTTTTCCATTTTATTTGTTTTCATTTTTATTAAATTATTATCTGTGTACATGTTTTATCATTGCCCCCCCCATACATACCTTCCCTCCCCAGAGTTTTGCATCCATTGGTTGTACTTATATGCATATATACAAGTCCTTTGGTTGATCTCTTATCTCCCCCAAACATTCATTCATTTATTCACTCATTCAGTTAACTTTTATTTGAGTTCCTTTTATGTACCATGCCTTGAATTAGATCCTGAGAATTTAAGAATTAAAAAGAATAGTCCACCTACTATGGGCTGAAAGTGGTCTTTTGTTATTGTAGCTTGTATCATATGTTGTTTCAAAGTAGTGTCCAAACTGGAAAGAAAAAGTAATAGATTAAAAATATAGGAGTCTACATCCAATATTTGGAAATAAAGGACACAGTAACATGAATTCCAATATGTTCTTTCATATTTCAGATTAACTAGAGAGGTCTAATATATATTATTAGAGGTATATAATATTACTCTATATCCTACTAACTTTCATAGCCTTTTTGTTTGCTTAAGAGACCTAAAAGTCAAGGACCAAGGGAAAAGCTAGCCTAAGTCAGAAGACATTGTATATTTCTTTAGATGAATAAAATTCAAACAAGAAGAGAAAGAGTACCCATATTTTTATTACCTTACAATAAAATAATATTCAACTTAATAGTAAAGTGGGATAGGTATTCCAGCTAAGAACAGCTTCCCTCCCCCAACCACTTCACTGAAAAGAAGTATGAGAGATTTCAGCATTAGAAGTTATCAGATTCTTGCCTCTCAAATGGCTACTATTTCTTTTGCTAAGAGAAGGAAACAAAGGAAGAGAAAGTTACATTACCTGGGAAGGCAAGGGTTTGGGCTGTATTATATTCCTTAGATCATATCTTTCCTGGTTCCAGTTGCCTATCAGGGTACGATTTGAATAGGTATTCTCATTAGTGGTGCATCTCCATCCATACTGGGAAAACTTGGATAAATCATTCCAATCTGTCCACACTTCAGCATGGCCATCTGCATTAATGAGGCTGCCATAGTGCGGGTTTGTAAGGAAACAGGAGAGGAACTCTCTCTGGGAAAAGATGAGAAAAGAAAAGCTTCTTATAAAAATCAGAGCGCAGAAAAGGCCTCCCCTTTTCACCCTTGGCCAAACATAACATAAGCACACCTCACTAAGAATCTAGGCTTTCCTTCCAATTTGACTGTTGTCATTCTGTTTCCTTTTCTCCAGGTCTACAAGTCCTTTGACCTATCCTCTCAATCAGCAGTAATGAATGACTATATAGATTAAATGCTCCCCTCAAAAACACAGAAAAAGTTTAGTAACCCCAATACTATATACTAGCTAAATGTTCAGGTAATTTTGAGATGTTGGAATTTAAGAACCAGGAGTATTTCCTTGGTCTATGTGGCTCAGTTGGTTGGAGCATCGTACACCAAATGATGGTGGGTTCGAGTCCCAGTCAGGGGATATACCCAGGTTGTGTAGTGGGTCAACACCAGTAGGGGTGTATGCAGGAAGCAACTTATCAATGTTTCTCTCTCTCACTGATGTCTCCCCCCAGCTTCCCGTCTCTAAAAAAATAAAGGTATTGGAGGATCCAAGATGGCTGCACAGGTAAACACCTAACCGCAGCCGCACACAACAATTTCAATAAAATACAACTAAAATATAAAATGGACATTACCCAGAACTACAGGAAAGTCGACTGACTGGAATTTCTACAATGAGAAGCAAGGAGAAAACCAGAAGGAAGTGCGGAGGAGCTGAAAAAAGCCTAACATACGGAGACACGCAGCGCGCTCGGAGAGGACGGAGCCGGAGAGGAGGGGGCAGTTCACTGCCTGGCTGGCGTTCCCTAGCGGGAAGGAGATAAAAGCTCCGGACTGTGCTGAACCCCAGATCCGACTGCTCTGAACCCCAGTTCTAGGCCAGACCCTGGGGATCCAGGCCCAAACAGAGGGAGTCTGGGCTGTGAGGCGGAATCCCAGGGGAGCGGTGAAAGGCCGAGCCCCAGAGGTGCGCACATTGCGTGCAGTGGATGGACTGTTGACTCTGCTGCCAGATTGCCCTAGCGGGAAGGAGACAAAAGCTCTGGACTGTGCTAAGCCCCATTCCGACTGCTCTGAACCCCAGTTCTAGGCCAGACTCCGGGGACCCAGGCTCATCCAGAGGGAGCTGGGCTATAAGGCAGAACCCCGGGGGAGCTGCAAAAGGCAGAGCCCCCGGAGGCGAGCACATTGCGTGCAGAGAAGGGACAGTTGGCTGTGCTGTGGGATTGCCCTGGCGGGAAGGAGACAAAAGCTCCAGACTGCTCTGAATACCACCTCCAATCCCACTTCCAACTGAACTGAACCGAACCCCAGTTCCAGGCCCATTGGGGGAGAGACTAGACTGTTTGATAGCAGGCGAAACTCGAGGGCATTTCACCCTCAGAGGTGCTTGCAGCGAGTACTAAAGGACCCTGAGGAATATTGAGACTCAGGAGCTGCATAGGGCGGGCGTGGCTGATGGAAGCCAAGGCTGTAGGCTCCAGCCTGAAACTCCGCTCCATCAGGGAAGCTGCAAAAATGCTGAGACAAGGAAATAGATCACAAACGAAAGAAATAGAGGACAAAAAGCGACTGGATATAGAGTTCAAAACCACACTTATAAGGTTGTTCAAGAACCTCCTAGAAAAGGCTGATAAAATAAACAAGACCTATGAGGATATGAAAAGGGATCAACTAGAAATAATAAGGAATCAACAAGAAATAATAAGGGATCAACAAGAAATAAAGAATACATTGTCTGAAATAAAAAAAATATTATACCGAGTCCTAAAAACAGAATGGAAGATTGCAAGAATCAAGTCAAAGATTTGGAGCATAAAGAGCCAGAAGACACTCCTCTGCTGAAGCAAGAAGGCAAGAGAATCCAGAAAGTTGAAGATAATGTAAGAAACCTCTGGGACAACTTCAAGCGAACCAACATCAGAATTATGGGGGTCCCAGAAGATGAGAGAGAGCAAGATATCGAAAACATACTGAAAGAAATAGTGACAGGAAACTTCCCCCACCTGGTGAAAGAATTAGACTTACAAGTCCAGGAAGCACACAGAACTCCAAACAAAAGGAATCCAAAAAAGACCACACCAAGACAAATCATAATTAAAATTCCAAGAGTAAAAGACAAAGAGAGAATATTAAAAGCAGCAAGAGCAAAGCAGGTAGTTACCTATACAAATACATAACTATCAAAGCAGGTAGTTACCTATACAAATACATAACTATCAACAAGTGAATGTAAAAACCAAAAAAATTTTTAAAAATCTGATGAACAATATTAACTGGTGAATATAATAGAATTAGAAGTATGGAAGGGGAGTGAACTGATGATTGTTGGGGAAAAGAGGAGATGGGGATGTGCGAAGAGACTGAACATAAACTGTGCACCTATGGATGAGGACAATGGGGGGTGGGGAAAGGGCAGAGGGTGGGGTGGGAACCTGGTGGAGGGGAGCAACGGGGGGAGGGGGAAAGAGGAACATCTGTAATAATATGAACTATAAAGATGCAAAAATAAATAAATAAATAAATAAATAAATAAATAAATGTATTGTTATAGTCAAAGAGAATAGGGAAAAGTGAGAACTGGAAAACTAGACAACACAATAAATGATCAATAATGATAGTTTCCTTCCTTCTAGAACCAATTCAAATGCAATTATTCCATATGCCTTCTCTTGTTAACTTATTTGTCTCACAATGTACTTCATGTTCATATCTTTCTATATTTATAATTTCTACCTTGTGTCAAGAGTTTTTAAAAATATATTTTTTTATTGATTTCAGAGAGGAAGGGAGAGGGAGAGAGAGATAGAAACATCAATGATGAGAGAGAAGCACTAATTGGCTGCCTACTTCATGCTCCCCTCTGAGGATCAATACCATAACCAGGGCATATGCCCTGACCGGGAATGGAACCATGACCTCCTGATTCATAGGTTGACACTCAACCACTGAGCACACAAGCAGGACTCAAGAGTTCTTTAAGTAAACTTTCAATACCCTATATTGGACTGTAAATCCCTAAGGAGAGGATTTGTGTCTTATTCATTATCACATGCTCTTCTTCTGCCTGACCTCTCAATCAACAGTTATTTGAACATACCAGATGACCAATATCTGAATTTCAAGTTGGAAAAAATCAAAAGAAGCCTACCCATTTTTATTTTTGGCAAAAAAAAAAAAAAAAAAAATGACAGTCTGGTTCCTTGGCTTAGGAACAAAACATTACCTTCCAAAAAGAAAAGTAATCTGATCCTGAGGAGCTTGTGTTTGTAGATTCTCTAGGAAAGTGAGAGAAAACCTTATTCCTCTTGTCCATGTTCTTTAAAGGAAGAGATGTCACCACACCTGGCCCTCCCAGTCCTTAAGCAGCGAAAGAATGTAGATCATTCGATCACCATGACCAGGTGACCACTCACCCACCTTTCCACAGGTAGGGACAAAGCCAATACTGTCCTCTCACTTGATGTGCCTTTGCAAAGACAGGTGCATGCACTGATGTCAACAAACAGCATAATGACTAAAGCGTAGCTGGTACCACAATGTTCAACAGGCTTAGTGTTTAGGCTGTAGATCAAGGTGATACTGTCCTGGGGCAGTAAGATACATATCATCATCCACTCAGTTTTCCACTCCTGGAACCCTGGGCTTATCTTTGACACCAATTTCTCTTTCAATCCCTTATATCACCCAATCATGAGGTCTTGTTGACTTATTTTAAAAAGTATATTTTGAGTTTTTATGGAAAGGAAGAGAGAGGGATAGAGAGCTAGAAACATCGATGAGAGAGAATCATCGATCAGCTGCCTCTTACACATCCAGCACTGGGGATGTGCTCGCAACCAAGGCACATGCCCTTGACCGGAATTGAATCCGGGATCTTTCAGTGTGCAGGCTGATACTCTATCCACTGAACCAAACTGGTTTCGGCCTTGTTGACTTTTTATTTAGCCCACTATCCTCAATCCCCACTGCCAAGTTACAACTCAGCCCTGGACTCTGACTGCAAAAGCCTCCTATTTGACCTCCATGCCATCAATCTAGTTCTCCAGTCCTTCTGTTTTGTTAATCCTCACCCGAGGATATTTTCCCATTGATTTTTAGAGAGAGTGGAAGAGAGAGGGAAAAACAGAAACATTAATATGAAACACATCGATTGGTTGCCTCCTGAATGAGTGGCAACCAGGGCCCAGACCTGGGAGCAACCTGCAACCAATGTATATGCCCTTGACTGGATTCAAACCGGGACCATTCAGTCTGCAGGCTGATGCCCTATCCACTGAGCCAAACCAGCTAGGGCTTTCCAATCCTTTTTCACACACACAAAAAGCAGGACTTTCAAAAATAAGAATTTAATTGTGTCTTCTTCCTATTTAAAATGTTTTGGTGTCTGGCCAGTTTCAGAATAAGGTTTAGGCTATTAAAATGGCTTATAAAGTTTTGTATGACCTGGCCCCTGCTTAATTTTTCAGTGTCATCTATTGCCGACTGTCCCTCCTACTACATTTTCAGCCAAACTCAACTATTCTGCTTCTCCATCATGCTCTTGCATATATTGTTCCTTCTGCCTATTCACTCCTCTTGACTCAGGTAAAGTGTACTTTCCCACCTTAGCTTTCAACTCGTTTCAATGCCCGGGAATCTTTCACTTCTCCCCTCTTCCCTCCCCCCCCCCCCTCCACTGTCAAGGTTTCCCTCCTGTGTGTTCCCACAGCATCCTGAATTACTCCACTCACAGCTAAATCAGAATTGCCTCTTTTGCTGAGCGTCCTTCTACCAGACTACAAGCTCAGTGAAAACCAGAGGCCACATCCTGCTCATCCATATTCGCATCCATCTAGCCGTCCTCACAGTGGCACCCAACAAGCACTCATTATTTCTTGAATGAATGAAAGGCAGGAGATGGAAGCACCTGGATGCATTCCGAGCAGTAGAGACAATGGCCAGCAGCCATTCTGGATGAGACTGAAGAAGACTTATAAAATCCTCTGTGGCAGGAACGAGCCGAACACAGCCGATCTTAACCTCTCTCTTGTCGGCCCGCCCCGCTTCCTTCACTCCGAACTCCTCGCCTCACCCCCCGCGGCCTCTCCCGCCGCGCTACCCAGTGCTTGTGACCTCATACTCAGGTGACAGAGTCGCTCAGGGCCACCCTCGGGCCCGGAGGATTTTATTTCGGACTCTCGAGGGGGTGGGCGGAGTATGGGGGGGACAGCGCGGTTGGCATCTCCCTTTGGCACTCGTGGTTATTTCCATGCCCGGGTGTGGCTGTACTAGTTTGATGAAGCCCCACAAGCGCTGTGGCGCGTCATCAATCAGCGACGGGCGAGACCCGCGGCGGAAGTGACGTAACGCGCGCGCCTCCGGGAAAGGACGCCCGCGGGAGAGCAGGAGGAGGCCATGGCCTCTCGGCGCCTCCTCTTGGTTGGGGAGGGGAACTTCTCCTTCGCCGCCGCTGTGAGTGAGACCCTGGACCCGAGCACTAGCCTCACGGCCACCTGCCTGCAGAGCCCCGCCGACCTGGCGGGGGACCCGATGGCCCGGGAGAACCTGCAGCGCCTGCGCGAGCGAGGTAACGAGGCCCCGCCCATGGCAGCCCCGCCCAGCGGCGGCGCGGCCCGAAGGGGTGGGAACGTGGGCATTGAAGAGAGAATTGCGCCGAAACCGGTTTGGCTCAGTGGGTAGAGCGTCGGCCTGCGGACTGAAAGGTCCCAGGTTCGATTCCTGTCAGGGGCATGTACGTTGGTTGCGGGCACATCTCCTGTGGGGGTGTGGAAGAGGCAGCTGGTTGGTGTTTCTCTCTCATCGATGTTTCTAGCTCTCTGTCTCTCTCCCTTCCTCTCGGTAAAAAATCAATAAAAATATATTAAAAAAAAAAAAAAAAAAAAAGAATTGCTCCGGAAAGTCCAGTGAACCTTTACAGAAAGCCCCCGCTCTGTGCCTAGACCGGGGTTGTTTCGTGTTGGGAGCTATGGAACATTTTAGCCCCTGTAAATCAGGAAGCTCAAAACAGCCCACATCCTTATTCTGCATCCTATTTTTCAGCCAGTCAACCGTTGCAGGTTGAATCAGAGACTGCGCCCGCCAAGGTAGAACATCGCCCTAGCAGTTAACAATCCTGTGTTGCCAGATATCTTACCACCCTGTCACTCGGTGCCTAACCAATCATACACTGCCAAATACCCTGCCGCCTGGGCAACCCTGCCCCCCTTTGTTCCTGCTGTATATATACCGCTGCTCCAGAAATAAAATTTGAGGCTTGATCAGAACCCTGTCTTGCCTCCATTTCTCTGCGTCTCCTGTCCTTCTATCCTCCACAGGTTCTCCCTCTCCCTGCGTTGTCGTGCCCCGCGGGTCGGGGCATATCTGGTGCCCAACATGGGGCGAGGGTACGGACCCCCGTGGAGGACGCCCACTTGAGAAGCCCTGGCCAGGCACCCCTGAACCTCCACGAAGTCAGCATGAGCTAGGTTTGTTTTGAGTCACCGCGAGGTATTGACCCGCGAGTGAAGACTCGTCCCTGATCACCGCGGGACCAGCCACCCTGCAAGATTGATCTGCTAAAGGTAAGTGGGTGATCATTATGGGACAGGAATTGAGCTCTCACGAGCTCTTCCTTAAGGGTATTAAGGAATCTTTAAAGGTTCATAGAATTAAGGCTCGTAAAAAAGATCTACGTGAATTTTTTATTTTTCTCTCTGATGTTTGTCCATGGTTCCCCCAGGAAGGAACAATAGATGAAAAATGTTGGAAAAGGGTAGGAGATTGTTTACATGACTATTTCAAGGTTTTTAGTCCAGCCAAGGTCCCTGTCTCTGCCTTTTCATATTGGAATCTGATCCATGATATCCTTAAAATCGACTCCCATGACCCAGATGTTCAAAAAGTTATAGAAACAGGCGAGACAATCCTTATAGAGAACTCCCGTCCTCCCTCGGCCTGTCACTCCGTCTCAATAGATATTCCTGAAGAGCCTAAATTACCAATTCCTAATTTAACAATTTCTGAGCCAAGCCCCCAATCATCTTCAGCCCTCCTGACCTCCAATATCTACCCTTCACTTACCATCTTTTCTAAACAACATCACGATGACCAGCTATCTCCCGAGGACCAAGAGATCTTAGATGAACAGGCCGCACGTTATCATGACGGGGAGGACCCTTGGCGCATCACCGCTCCTCCTTTCCACGGCCCCCCCAGCAAGCCATCTAGGCCTCCCCCTTACAATCCTCCTCCCCAGTGTAAGCAGAAGGAAGGAAATAACAAAAATCAGAGCAGAGATAAATGACATAGAGACCAAAGAAACAATACATAAGATCAACAAAACCAAGAGCTGGTTCTTTGAAAGGATAAACAAGATAGGTGAACCTCTAGCCAGGCTAACCAAGAAACAAAGAGAGAGGCCCCAAATAAAATCAGAAATGAAAGAGGTGAAATAACAACAGACCCCGCCGAAATACAATGGATTGTTACAAAATACTACGAACAACTCTATTCCAACAAACTGAACAACCTGGAGGAAATGGACATATTCCTAGAAAAATACAACCTTCCAAAACTCAATCAGTTTTGAGAGGGAAATTCATATCCTTACAAGCCTATTGCAAAAAACTAGAAAAAATGGTAACAAATGATCTAACTGTACAACTCAAAGAGTTAGAAAAAGAGCAACAAGAAAAGCCCAGTGTAAGCAGAAGGAAGGAAATAACAAAAATCATAGCAGAGATAAACAACATAGAGACCAAAGAAACAATACATAAGATCAACAAAACCAAAAGCTGGTTCTTTGAAAGGATAAACAAGATAGATGAACCTCTAGCCAGGCTAACCAAGAAACAAAGAGAGAGGACCCAAATAAACAAAATCAGAAATGAAAGAGGTGAAATAACAACAGACCCCGCCGAAATACAACGGATTGTTACAAAATACTACGAACAACTCTATTCCAACAAAATGAACAACCTGGAGGAAATGGACATATTCCTAGAAAAATACAACCTTCCAAAACTCAATCAGGAAGAATCTAAAAATCTCAATAGACCAGTAACTTGGGAAGAAATTGAAACAGTCATCAAAAAACTTCCAGCAAACAAAAGCCCAGGGCCAGATGGCTTCACAGGACAGTTTTACCAAACATTCAAGGAAGAACTAAAACCTATCCTCCTCAGACTACTCCAAAAAATCCAAGAGGAAGGAACACTTCCAAACTCCTTCTATGAAGCCAGCATCACCCTAATACCAAAACCAGATAAAGACAACTCAATCAAAGAGAATTACAAGCCAATATCCCTCATGAACATAGATGCCAAAATCCTCAACAAAATTCTAGCAAATCGATTCCAGAAGAACATCACGAAGAACATACACCATGACCAAGTAGGATTTATTCCAGGAATGCAAGGATGGTACAATATCCGCAAATCAATAAACATGATACATCACATAAACAAATTGAAAGATAAAAATCATATAGTCATATCAATTGATGCAGAAAAAGCATTTGATAAAATCCAACACCCTTTTCTGATAAAAACTCTTAACAAGGTGGGAGTACAAGGATCATACCTCAACATAATAAAAGCTATATATGATAAACCCACAGCCAACATTATACTCAATGGGAAAAAACTAAAACCATTCCCTCTAAGAACAGGAACAAGACAGGGATGCCCACTCTCGCCACTCCTGTTTGACATAGTACTGGAAGTACTAGCCATTGCAATTAGACAAGAGGAGGAAATAAAAGGTATCCAAATTGGAAAAGAAGAAGTAAAGTTATCCTTATTTGCAGATGACATGATATTGTACATAAAAAACCCAAAAGACTCCATTAAAAAGCTAATTGACTTAATAAATGAATTTGGCAATGTAGCAGGATACAAAATTAATGCTAAGAAATCCATGGCATTTCTGTACACCAACAGTGAAACTACAGAAACAGAGACTAAAAAAGCAATTCCATTTACCATCATACCAAAAAAATTAAGATATCTACTAAGGAAGTAAAGGACCTATATGCGGAAAACTACACGAAACTGAAAAAAGAAATAGAAGAAGATGTAAAGAGGTGGAAGAACATACCATGTTCATGGATTGGTAGAATCAACATCATCAAAATGTCCATACTTCCTAAAGCAATCTATAGGTTCAATGCACTCCCCATTAAAATACCAATGACATATTTCACTAACCTAGAAAGAACTCTCCAAAAGTTCATTTGGAACAATAAAAGACCCCGAATAACCACAGCAATCCTGAGAAAGAAGAGTAAAGTAGGAGGGATCTCAATACCAGACTTCAAACTGTATTACAAAGCCACTGTTCTCAAAACAGCCTGGTACTGGCACAAGAACAGACTTATAGATCAATGGAATAGAATTGAGAACCCAGATATCAACCCAAATCACTATGCTCAATTAATATTTGACAAAGGAGGCATGAATATACAATGGAGTCAAGACAATCTCTTCAATAAATGGAATTGGGAAAATTGGACAGACACATGCAAAAGAATGAAACTAGATCACCAACTTACACCATACACAAAAATAAACTCAAAATGGATACAGGACTTAAACATCAGATGGGAAACCATAAAAATACTAGAAGCAGCCACAGGCAGCAAAATCTCAGACATATGCCAAAAGAACTTCTTCACTGATACTGCCCCTAGGTCAATGGAAGCTAAAGAGAAAATAAACAAATGGGACTACATCAAAATAAAAGGCTTTTTTACCGCAAAAGAAACCATCAACAAAACAACAAGAAAGCCCACAGTGTGGGAGAACATATTTGCAAATAATACCACTGATAAAGGCTTAATCTCCAACATTTACAGACAGCTTATACAACTAAATAAAAGGAAGATGAATGATCCAATTAAAAAATGGGCAATGGACCTAAATAAAATATTTTCAAAAGAAGACAGAAGGAAGGACAAAAGGCACATGAAAACATGCTCAAAGTCACTAATTATCCAAGAGATGCAAATCAAAACAACAATGCGGTACCATCTCACACCTGTCAGAATGGCCAACATCAACAAATCAACAAACGACAAGTGTTGGCGAGGTTGCGGAGAAAAAGGAACCCTCGTGCACTGCTGGTGGGAATGCAGACTGGTGCAACCACTGTGGAGAACAGTGTGGAGTTTCCTCAAAAAATGAAAATGGAACTCCCATTTGACCCAGTAATCCCACTTCTAGGAATATGTCCCAAGAAACTAAAAACACCAATCAGAAAGAATATATGCATCCTTATGTTCATAGCAGCACAATCTACAATAGCCAGAATTTGGAAACAGCCTAGGTGCTCGTCAGCAGATGATTGGATCCAAAAACTATGGTACATCTACACAATGGAATACTATGCTGCCATAAATGAGGAATGCTCATCATTTGCAGCAACCTGGATGGAATTGGAGAACATCATGCTGAGTGAAATAAGCCAGTTAATGAAAGAGAAACACCACATGACCTCACTCATTTATGGATAATAAAGAACATTATAAACTGATGAACCAAAAGATAGATATAGAGACAGTAAAGCAACAAGCAGACTGTCAAATTACAGTGGGAAGGAGAGAGAGATCTGGGGGAAATAATAGATCAACCAAAGGACCTGTATACATGCATATAAGTACAACCAATGGGCATAAAACTATGGGGAGAGAGGGTATGTATGGGAGGGAGGGAGAGGGGCAAAAAAAAAATCAATAAAATATATTAAAAAAATAAAAATAAAATAAAAAAAGAAAGAAAGCCAGGTCAGTACTCCCTCACTCGGTGTAGGCCCACCTCCTTTAAAAAGACTAATAAGGAGGAGATGGAAGCTATGGAACATTTTAGCCCCTGTAAATCAGGAAGCTCAAAACAGCCCACATCCTTATTCTGCATCCAGTTTTCCAGCCAGTCAACTGTTGCTGGTTGAATCAGAGCCCACACCCGCCAAGTTAGAACACCCCCTAGCAGTAAACCAATCCTGTGTTGCCAGATATCTTACCACCCTGTCACTCGGTGCCTAACCAATCATACACTGCCAAATACCCCGCCGCGTAGGCAACCCTGCCCCCCTTTGTTCCTGCTGTATATATACCGCTGCTCCAGAAATAAAATTTGAGGCTTGATCAGAACCCTGTCTTGCCTCCATTTCTCCGCGTCTCCTGTCCTTCTATCCTCCACAGGTTCTCCCTCTCCCCGCGTTGTCGTGCTCCGCGGGTCGGGGCAGTTTCGCGCGGTTCAGGTTAGGGAAGCGTTTTCTACGCCTCCAGGTCTTAAGACGTCCTCCTGTCTATATTTGGTGCCAGGTACAAGGATACATTTTGGTGTGGACTGTACCCGCCTGGCAGATGCCTTTGAACAGCACGACAGGGAGTTTGATCGAATCTGTTTTAACTTCCCGCACTGTGGCCGCAAAGCTGGAGTAGCGAGGAACAGGGAACTGCTTGCCAAGTTCTTCCGGAGGTGAGGAAAGCACTGGAACATTTTAGTTTGGGAAGTTAGGCTCACGTGTGTAAATTAATCTGCTAGGTTTAGAGAGACTGTAAAGCTCCATAAGAATACACAGTCCCGTTGGAAAGGCAGATGTATAACCCTGAAGGCTAAATCAAAGTACAGATACTATGCCCTTGGGCGTCTAATGGGCTGGTCACCTATTTTTGGTCATGCAAAATAATGGTAACTAGTGTAGTCTGAAGGTGAGGAGCATGGATTTAGGAGCCAAACTGCCTGGATTCAAATGAATAGTTGTATGATTTTAGGTAAGTTTACTTAATCCTTTTTTGCTTCCTCGTCTATACACTGAGGTTATTAATAGTAAATACTATTCTAGATAGCCTCATAACATTATTGGGACTTTACCCTAGTGCTTTACACCAGCAATTTTCAACCAGTGTCTGGAGGCAGGCATGCTAGTATACCAAAACATGTGGCACAATTGCAGGTCTCTGTGTCACAGCTGTTAACAAACTTCACAGAGGCAATATTTCAACTAAGTATTTGAAGTATAGAACTTTAATAGGGAGGGGAGTGAAAAGAACAACTTTCTCGACGGAACTGTGACAGAGCTGCAAGAATTTTTAAAACTTGCGGTACCTGATTGTTTAGTCAGGGGCACTGACCTCTTTTCCCTTAGATTGTCAAATAAGAAAATGACAACAACCAAAACAATAGTAGCCGTCCAGTGTGAATGAATCAAATTTATACCTATTTTTTTGTATCAGATCAGCAAAAAATAAACTTTTTGATGTGCTGCAGAATTTTAGTTTATGTATGCCATCAGATGAAACAGGTTGAACATCACTGCTTTACACTATTTACCAAACACTGTGGCATAATTGGAGGTCTCTTTGGGTCATGGTTGTCAACAAATTTTTCAGAGAGGCAGTATTTGAAGTATTTGAAGTATAGAATTTTAATAGGCAGAAGAAGAGTGAAAAGAACAACTTTCTCCACCAGGAAGAACAGCCTGATAAGTGAATTCTGTATAGGAACCTCAAAGACATTGATTTTCTATAACATGTAGGTGAACAATGCAAATACCAAGCTGGTAACACTGTGATCAGGCACCAGTGTTATGAGTTGAACATTGAATTTACATTCTAATTTACTTTCAGCTATTTTATTTACATGTTTGAAGTCTAAACAACCTTTGCCCAATGGGTGTGACTAGATTTGAATTATTTCATAGCCAAATCATGTATATATAACTAACTCCTGTGGTAATTGCTATTTGATAAATGGCTGGTATTCTCTCCCCTCCTCCCATCCCTATTAGCTGTGCAGATGTTCTTGCAGAGGAAGGAGAAATCCATGTGGCATTGTGTAGAGGACAAGGTGGGACTCCTGCTGATAATCCCACAAGAGAATGGCACAACAGTTGGCAAGTGGTTGCCATGGCAGCTCTAGGCGGATTCATTTTAAGTGATGTGCATCCCTTCAGCTGTGAGGCTGTGCCAGGGTACAAGTGCACTGGATATAGGTAAGTAATAACAGAAGTCTAAGTCTTTTCAGCTCTCTCACTAATTATTAAAAACAAACCTCAAAGGTAAACTTTTTTTCTTGCCAATTTCCTGATTCAGTCTCAAACACTTACTTTCCTTAACAATAACAGACTTCATACTTGGTATCTGTTTTGCCAGAAGTCAAGATAAGTCATTTCATGTAGAAGGTGCTTTGAACCATATCTTCACCCGGAGCTTACCCTTTAAAGGTTCACAACCGAGAATCTTCAGGGTCAAACTGGGTGACCAGTGGTTTTCTTTTCCAGAACCAGAAGCGCTTGTAGGAAAGTTGAACAGGTAACTGGTATTTTATCAGAAATTACTTCTTTCTCTAACTGCATCTTAATTGGCTTGATGGCAGCCATATATTGAATGGATACTACATATACTGTTAATGATGTTGGTGCTCTGAATACTTGTCAGTCTGGCAGACATAAACCTCTTTAGAACTAAAAATTTTATGGTATATTGTATGGATGGTGGTTGTCAGAGTTCTGAAACACATGATATCTCTGTTTATTTTAAGGATAATTCTTTTCTATTTAGCTATTTGCACTTTATATTCTAACTACATTATAATTATTTACTATTTTAAGTTTAAAAGGTTATTTTGTATTTGTGCTTACACAGGGGTTTCCTAGAAGCATCTTCCTGTCATCCGATCAAAACCATAAATGAGAAACTGATTTCTGAACTGGGCAAAGCTTTCCCTCTAAAAAGGCTGAAGTGTTCTTTCCCTTTGCTGCCCCCTGGAGAAGCCAGTGTTCTCACTTCCTGGAACTGTGACATTCTGTCAACTGTCTTTTGGATTCATCTCCTCGAGGATAACTCAAATTCTGAGTCCCTGACTGGTGGGACAACAGAAGACATGGAGGACTTTCTAGCGTCACTTTCCGAACTTAGCTTTCCTAAGGAAGAAGCTCCTGAAGGAATCTATGCCCAAGCCAAGATCTGGCTTAGACCTTCTCTCCTAGTTCATGTTCAGGCTGTCATCCAAGCACCAGACTTCCTCCCAGGATCTTTGTACATCCTCAGTGGACCTGTCTTTCAGAAGTGCCACATCTTACCTTTCACAATGCCAGCATTTCACGAGACTTTATTTATCCTTGGGTTCAATAAAAATCTGAAGGATGACTGTCTTCAGTCACTACTGAGCCACCTGAAGGGCATTCTAGATAGCCTTCTGACTCAGACATTGCTAGAGGGTTCTAAACTGAGCAATTCAGTAGAATTTGTCCTTCAACCAAATGGGAAAGATTATATGATTAATGTGAAGTCTCATAATTTTGGCCCAGATTGTGCCAAGGATCTAAGTATTGGGTCTGTTACCACATCTATTCCAAGCATTATACATGAAGAACGGTGTTTTGTGTTTGTATCTGTGAACTTGGACCTATTAGCCATGCTTGTCTGGGGTATCTCTGACTGGAGGATGTTGTGGACCTTTGATAAACGTTTTCTGAAGAATTTTGTCTCAGAGAAAATAGAACCCTTTAAAAGTTATTCCCTGTATCCTCCAAGATATGTGCATGATATTAGTTTTTGGTTAGATGAGAAAAAAGGATTTGATGAACTAGAGTTTCACACTGTGGCCCGAGCAGTGTCCCAAGACACTGTCATATCCATACAGTTTCTTAGTCGTTTTCAGCATCCCAAGACTAAACAGGTCAGTCTCTGCTATAGAATGACCTACCAGACCTGTGACAAAGCCCTTACCCAGCAGCAGGTAGCATCAATGCAATCTCAGTTTAGGAAAGAGATTCAACGACTACATGTGACACCTCGGTAGTTTAGCAAATAATTTCTGCAGCATGATCCTTATGAGTATGAGATGAGAAAACCCATTTGTAGGTGGGAGTCCTCTCTGGACTTTTTTTGTAAAATCTTTTTACCTTGTAACTGTTGACTCTAAAGATACCTTGTGATTCGATCACTTAAACTTATAGACTGTAATGTGATAGGAGATCTTTGGAGTTGTGCAGTATTTTGATCCTGAGTAATGACTAGGAACATTAACAAATAAAACATCATCAAGTACTTTAGATGCTCTATTGCTAAAGAGGAAATAGAACTTATATATATATATATAAACTACAGGCCCGTGCACTGGTGGGGTCCCTCGGCCTGTGCTCTCTTGCAATCCAGGACCCTTAGGGATGTCAGACTGCCTGTTTTGGACTGATCCCCACAGGCCAGGCCAAGGGACCCCATTGTTGCATGAATCCTTACACCGGGCCTCTAGTATGCATATAAGATCTTTGGTTAATCTCTTCCCACCCTCCCCCCTCTTGTCCCTCCTGCTGAGATTCATCAGTCTGTTCCATGTTACCATGCCTATGCGTTGAGCATATGCCCCTTGGTGGTCAATGTGCTTGAGCGAACGATCACTTAAGCCTGTGGTTGGCAAACTGCTCGCAAGCCACATGCGGCTCTTTGGCCCCTTCATTGTGGCTTTTCCACAAACTACCATGGCCTGGGCAAGTCTATTTTGAAGAAGTGGCATTAGAAGAAGTTTAAATTTTAAAAATTTGGCTCTGAAAAGAAATTTCATTCCTTGTACTGTTTCTATTTGGCTTTGTTGACTAATGAGTTTGCCGACCACTGGCTTAGGCTTTTATATATATAGATATGTATATTTTCCACATTGTCAATTCCTCTTCCTTTAACTCTATTGTATCATCTCATTAAATCTATGTACAAGAGTGCTTTTTAGTCAGACCAACATTTATTAACTTGGGTAGGTTGGAAGTGCTCCATTGGTACCATTATCATCTAGACCTTCTTCTCCTAGTTCATGTTCAGACTATCATCCAAGCACATGAAATACAAATTTGGAAGGCATCTCATCATCATCATCATCTTTAATCAGTGGTTAAATTACTGTTAAAGTCATGGAACTGATAGCTATCAGATTTAGAGTTCATATTTGAATCTGAATCTACAGCCTAAGTTTTTTCTGCCATTTTGTTACTTTACTTCCCTCTCCTGGTCTTCAGCAGTAGTCTCTCAACTGTAGTTAACTCTGAAGTTGTCCCCCTCCTAGATGTGGGGGCCTTCTGTTGTAAGCATCTCTAAGGGACATTGATTGGCTCAGCCCAGGACTCTGAAGAATGTGAATTAATATATGTTCCTATTAGCCGGGACCGGTTTGGCTCAATGGACAGAGCGTTGGCTTGGGGACTGAAAGGTCCCAGGTTCGATTCCGGTCAAGGGCATGTACCTTGGTTGCGGGCATATCCCCGGTAGGGGGTGTGCAAGAGGCAGCTGATCAATGACTCTCTCTCATTGATGTTTCTGACTCTCTATCTCTCTCCCTTCCTCTCTGTATAAAATCAATAAAATATATTAAAAAAAAAATATATATATATGTTCCTATTAATAGGTTCCACTAATTGGAATTATATTGTGAATTTTATGAAGGAAATAACTGTGCTATTTATTCTTGTATTTGGAGAAGAGCATATATAGGAAGGCAAGAATAGAAGCAAAGAAACAAATTTGGAGGTTATGATAATGCAAACAAGAGATAATGGTGACCTGGACCAGGGTATAAAGTTGTTAGGGCAATATTAGAAGGACTTGCTAATGAATTAAATATATGTGTGTGGGTAGAAGGTGTGGAGTTAGAGAAATCAACTAGGTTTTTGATTTGAGCAACTGGGAAAACTGTCATTAATAAGAAAACTAATAAGGTATTGGAGTAAATTTGAGGAGTGAAGAATTAAGAAATACCTTATGGACACATGTATTGCTTAGCTCTCCATATCCTATATAATAAAAGGGTAATATGCAAATTGACCCTACTGGCAGAACTGGGAATGACTGGTTGCTATGATGTGCACTGACCACCAGCGGGCAGACGCTCAATGTAGGAGTTGCTCCTTGATGTGTAATGTGCTTCCATAGGGGGAGTGCCTCTCAGCCAGAAGCAGGCTCTTGGCTGGTCAGCACAGTGGCAGTGGCAGGAGCCTCTCCTGCCTCCACAGCAGCACTACAAATGTCCGACTAACAGCTTAGTCGTTAGTATGTGGGCCAGGCTGAGGGGCCCCTCCAAATGCATGGATTTTTGTGCACTGAGCCTCTAAGACATTGGTTGCTAGACAAGTTTAACATTCACCTTTTTTTTTTTTTTTTTACAGAAAGTCTCTTGTACTTTGTTATACTTTGTTGAAGTTATATTTTCTTGAGAGTAAAAGTATATTTAAGACATTTTCATAAACATCAACCTAAGGAATGATAAAAACACATTAAAAAAAATTCTAATGATGGTTATTTCAGAATGGATAAAAGGTTTGTGAAAGTTATAGAAGAGTTTGTTCAGTGAGTCAGGACATGATCACACCTGATGTATGAAGGGACCCCTGCTCTCCTAGCTCTGACTTTATCTTGTTGCTTAGGTCCTTAGGTTGGGCCTAAACTTCCTTTATTTCCATCGTTCATTCATAGTCCTTGACACTATCATTGGAAGCCTCCACAGATCTTCCTACTTGGTATCTATTTCTAGCTTTTTAAAAAGTCATACACTTGCTTCAAACAATAAAAAATAAAATAAAATCTTACAGAAAAATAAAAAGTTATACACTGCTAAAGAAACCAAGTTGGGAATGATCCCATAATACAGGGAAATAACAAAGCAGACCAGGAGGCCAAGGCAGCTGCTCAGAGGAAGTTCCATCTCCCCAACTCTTAGCGATACCTCATATAACATCCAAATACACTCCAAAGGAACTTCAGTCCCTATTAGCTCTTGGGGCCACTCAGGAAGATCCATGGTTAAATTTTCAGGGAAGCCCTAGCAGGTTTGGCTCAGTGGATAGAGTCCTGTGGATTAAAGGGTCCTAGGTTCAGTTCTGGTTAAGGACACATGACTAGGTTGCTGGCTCAATCCCCAGTGTGGGGTGTGCAGGAGGCAGCCAATCAATGGTTCTCTCTCATCCTTGATGTTTTTCTCTCTCCCTCTTCCTCTCTGAAATAAAAAATATATTTAAAATTTTTTTTTCAGGGAAAATATATCCTTCCCCAGGGACAGGCCCACAATATCTTGTGAGCTATTTATAATTTCCTACATAGAGGATACACAACTGCTTTTACAATTCCTAAAACCCTCATCACATGTCCTAGCCTAGCCCCCTACTGCAAGATATCACCAAAACCTGTTCTACTTGGTAATCAGTATTTTCCCAAGGACAGGTATGGGGCTGGCATAGGAGGCTTAACCACTGCTCTACAATATTTTGAAATCCTGTCTCAGGACCTACAAGAAATCCCAGATGACATTGCCAAAAGCTTTGTTCAAAGTCAGGATCAGAGAGATTCACTAGCAGCTGTAACCCTCCAAAACCAAGGAGGACTAGATCTCCTAATGGCAGAGAAAGGGGGTCTATGGCTCTTTCTGGAGGAAGAATGCTGTTTTTATGTCAACCTGTCTGGCCTAATCAGGGATGCCACCCAAAAGTTAAAAGAAATCAAATTCATAGGACTACTGGCTAAAAAATATAAATTGGTATACCTGGCTATTTCCCTTCCTAGGACCATTAACATCCCTATTTCTCATCCTCGGTTTTGGCTCGTGTACTTTGAGTCATTTTTCATCTTTCCTTCAGGATGGCCTTTGAGTTTTCACCAACTAGCCTCTCAGGGAAATCATGCTGCTGCAACCTCTAGCTCCAACCAGGAGGAATCTATACAGAGTTCCAGCTGGCTACAATCAAAGTCCATATCCTTATGCTCTTGATGTCCCCTCTCAGATGAAAGAAAGGACCTTCGACCCTGTTCCATAAAACAAAAAGACCGAAATGTTAGGTCTGATCTAGTAACTGAATCATTACCCCTCTCCCCTGGAAACTGACCTTTAGACCACTTTACAACTGACATTCGCTTTTGCTTAGAACACATTCCACTTGTTAAGACTACTGTCTTTCCCCTCTGGACTTTCCCAGGATCTGGACTGCCCAGAGATTTCACTACCGAAAAAGCACACTTTGAGTACTTTGGAACCTCCGACTCCCCATCCCCGGGTGCCAGTGCCATTTTGGAGCTCAGCCCATATGGGTCTCCAGATGACCTAATCCTATCTAATAGAAGGTTAATATGAGTTTGACCAAACTCGTTATGATGTGGGATGACCACCAGGGGGTGGTGAGGAACAAAGGAAGGCCCCAGAAGAAGGAAGCCAGAGGAAGGAAGGCCCTGATTGACCCTGATCTCCAGCCAGGCCTAGGGATGCTACCCGTGCATGAATTTCATGCACCAGGCTGCTAGTTAGTTTATAAATCTTTACAACTTTTGGCCTCGTGCCTTCCTCGGTGACCTTAACAGGCCACAGATTCCTTCTCAATAAAACAAGGGTGATATGAGTATTAAATTTAAAAAGGGTAAAATATGTAAAATGCTTACCATAACGCTGTAGAGGTGATAAGGGGGACTTATAACTTGATAGAGCACTTTAATTTGAGAAATAATCATATTATTTTAAATCTTAGAACACATATTTATGTGAATAGGAGGTTAAGTTTCTCATATGTGAAAAGGGGCTTAAGTTTTTCTTAAGTTTCCTTTTCAAGGCCTGTGTGAAACTGACTCAGCTGTGAATCCAGCAAGCTGAACCAATTATCATGGTCAGACCAATCCACCAGGAGTCAAAACATCATCTCATCACCTGATTACCAAGGACAATAGTGGCATCTGTAGACCTTCAGGGCTACCAACTCCATTCTGTTCCCAGTCTCACCCTAGCTCCTTCCCCTCCCCCTTTATAATCTTATCCCCTGCACTTTGCTGTAAGACAGGATTTGAATGCTTGTAAGAGCCCTGTCTTCTTGGTTGGCTAGCCTTCTCAATAAACGCTTAATATGATACAACCCTGCCTTCATTATTGGACACAGCGAGAGGCAGTCTGAGAACCAGTAACAGTAGCAATGACAGCACTGGTGTATGGTTGAATTTGCCACATAGAATTTCTTGTTGTTGTTTTTTTGTGTTTGTTTTGTTTTTTTTTGGGGGGGGGGATGCGATGGGGTGGGGAAGGAAGGGTCTTTTTAGGTATATTAATTTTTTAAAATCTTTATTGTTGTATTACAAATGTTCCCCCCCCCCCTCATTAACCCTCTCCAGCCCGCCTCTGCCCCCCACTTTTTTCTCATTCTGTTTGCTACTATTAGCCCAGGCTGTCCTTACCATTCTTACGAAAGTACAGAGAGGGCAAGCTGTCAGTGACTTTTTAAGGGCCTCCCCATTGGTAGGCAGCTGTGCTATGATTTTTAACTGAGTATCTCCGCTACCCACGTTGCAGAAAGCTTTCTATTAAAAAAAAAAAAGGGGGGGGGGGAGGGTGCGTGTGTTTCTGAAGAATGGTTTTTGTGGGCGAGTGGAGAGTGCTGAAAAGTGACGGAGGCGGGAGTTAGAGGCAGGGAGGAATGCCCAGCGTTACAAGCATGTGGAAGGGATCGCGGTGACGGTGAAAGCAGTCTACTGCGGCTCTGTTTCTTTTCTGCTCTAGGATTCGCCCCCCACCGGTCCCAAAACGCCGAAATTGAGCGTTGTCTGCGCATGTCAAGGTCTTTTGTCCCTCGGCGGACACCGTTTGCCAGCCAGCGCGATGCCTGGGTGCTCGCCCTCTCCGTAGGGTGTCCGTCGGCTTCCACCTTCTCAGCCCGGCGGGCCATGGCCGGCCGCGGGGCCCGGCAGCGCCCCAGGGGAGGCGGGAGCGGCGGCGGGGACCCGGCCTCGGCCGCGGACAAGCTGCGGGAGCTGCTGTGCGGCCGCGAGGCGGGCGGCGCGGAGCCGCGGGCCGAGTAGGTGCGGGGCGGGGGCGTGGCCGGCGGCGGCGCGGGGGCTTGTCGCCCCGAGTGTCCGGCCACCTCTGCACCCAGGCCCCTTTGCTCTCTCTTCTCGGGCGGGTCGGCGTTCGGTCTCCACCCCGTCCTAGACCTCCTCCGGGGGTTCGCGTGGCTGTGAGGCAGCCTGGGGTGCGGGCCCGGCGTGGGCTGGCGTCCTGTGGGTGAGCTGGCAGGCGCTGAGAGGGTGCCGCCTCTCAGGGATCTCGCCGAAGCCCCGGCCCTTTAATGCGAAGGCCCCGCAGCCTCCAGCTCAGCACCCGCCTCCCTCCGAGGCCGGGAGCTGCAGGCTGGGGCTGCACCAAGGAGCTGTCAACAAGACGGAATTGGAAGAGGTCACAGTGCATTGCCCGTGTTAGGCCTCTGTACATGGGAATAAATGAGCAGATGAATTAAGTCATGGACAGCAATAGAAAGACACAGGGTGAGAGCGTTGTGGGCTTCAAGTGAGTGGTTAGTTGGCTTGGGGTAAATGGAGCGTCGTAGATGCCAAGAACTGAAGTGTACAGATTAGCTTAGTTTACACGTGCAAAACCGGAAGTGGAAGGAATGATTTAGGTTGATCTACTCCAAACATCTCACTGCCCACCTTTATTGGTGAAGACTTCAGCGGCTCCCGCAGCTTTAATGTCCCTTGCCAGTCTTGGTTTTTTGTTTTGTTTTTTTTTTTTTTTTGGTCTAATTTTAGTCCTTCTAGTTAGCAGGTACTTACTGACACATACTTTTTTTTTTTTTTTTTTTTTTTTTTTTTTGCTTCTGAGCAGGTTATCTGGGAACAAAGCTGGACAAGTTTGGGCACCGGAAGGATCTACTGCTTTCAAGTGTTTGCTCTCAGCAAGGTTATGTGCTGCTCTTCTGAGCAACATCTCAGACTGTGATGAAACATTCAACTACTGGGAACCAGTAGGTTACTTTCTGGGTATTTTTATAGTTGTTCTTGATTTCACTGCTTGGGATCTTGTTACCAATCAAGATACAAATACTATATACACGTGTTACTAGTAGTAAAATAACTTTATTTGCACTTTCTATTCCAAGTTGATGACTTAGTAGTAGTGACTATTTTTTCAAATACCTATTTATTGATTTCAGAGAGGAAAAGAGAGGGAGAGAGAAACATCAATGATGAGAAAGAATCATTGATTGGCTGCCTTCTGCAGGCCTCCTAAGGGGACCCAGCCCCCAACCAGGGCACATGCTCCAACTGGAATCAAACCTGTGACCGCCTGAAAACAAAAATAAAAACAAAAACAAACCTGTGACCGCCTGGTTCATAGGTTGATGCTCAATCACTTGAGCCACTCTGGTCAGGCAGATTTAGAGTTGTTCTTATTGTTTTTAATAAGTAGCAGATAAAATTTAAGCTTTTAAAGCTGACCAAACAATAATCTTGTAGAATTTATAATGTCCTGATATTTCTTAATATTGTGTCATTTTGATTCTTATCCATTAGTTGCAAATCTTGGGAATTTCAACATTTTTGTATACCGTTGTTTCATCAATATTGTTGCTTAAAATCTTCATCTTCATCCTTTTTTTTCAGACACACTACCTCATCTATGGGAAGGGGTTTCAGACTTGGGAATATTCCCCAGTTTATGCCATTCGCTCCTATGCTTACCTGTTGCTTCATGCCTGGCCAGCTGCATTTCATGCAAGAATTCTACAAACTAATAAGGTAATGGCAGGCCAACCTGGAAGCAGTCACAACTGATCAAGTGGTGAGAAAAGGACAAAATAGTTTGGTAGTTAAGAGGAGACGTTTTCTAGAAGAAGAATTATTTATTCATTCATTGTTCAACAAATATTAATTAAGCAACTTTTATTTGGTAGACACTTAAGTGCTATGGATGTAACAATGACCAAATCCCTACCCTCATGGAATTTATGGTTTAATAAAACCATCAGAAGGAATAACTAAGGAAGTGGTTGCCTCTAGGGACTGGGATTTGAACATAAGAAATGGAACTGGGAACTACTATTTTTCTTAAAGTTTTGTAGTAATGGTTAACTTTAAAAACTATCCCAAATTATTATTTTTATTTAAAAATTTTTTAAGGAAGTTAGAAGTTATATCCTTTTATATAAAACAGTCAAATTTTCTATAGTCTTCAATTACTACTGCTAACCTATCCAGCATGGCTCAGTGGAAGACTACTTGTAATTGAACAAGTAATTATAAATGTAGTGAGTCTTATGAAGGAAGAGTACCAATATGCAGTGTGATAGCATATTAGGAGAGCCTACTTAGAAATTAAGCCTGATTACTTTTCAGAAATATGACTATGATGCGTCTTGGCATGGATTTCTTTTGGGTTTGTCTTGTTTGGAGTTTTCTTAGCTTCTTGAATCTTTAGGCTTATGTCTTTTGCCAAATTTGGAAAGTTTGTTTAAAAAATATTTTTATTGATTTCAGAGAGGAACAGAGAGGGAGAGAAAGATAGAAACATCATTGATGAGAGAAAGTCATCGATCTGCTGCCTCTTCCATGCCTCATAATTGGGATCAAACCCACAATCTAGGCATATGCCCTGACCGGAAATCTAACTGTGCCCTCAGGGTTACTAGGTCGATGCTCAACCATTGAACCACTCTGGCTGGGCTGGCAAGTTTTTAGCTGTATTTTTCTTTATTTTAGTACTTTTTCAGCCCTGCCCTGGAACCAAAAAAACAAAAACAAAAAACAAAACCCTTGAATAGCTGCAGCAATCTTGAGAAAGAAAAACAAAGTTGGAGGAATCACAATACCAGATTTCAAGATGTACTACACAGCCACTGCAGCTATTCAGGGTTTGTTTTTTTTTTTGGTTCCATATATATTTTTGGAATATTTTTTCTAGATCTGTGAAATATGCTGTTGGTATTTTAACACAAATGCACTGAATCTATAGATTGCCTTGAGTAGTATGGACATTTTAATGATATTGATTCTACTAATCCATTAACACAATATATTCTTCCACTTGTTTATAGATTCTTCTATTTCTTTTTCAATGTTACAATGGTTCCTTTAATATTAGGGAATTCTAACATCTCTCTTTTTCTTTTGGTATTTATTTATTGTGATGTTTTGTGTTCTTTTTTCATTGAGTTTGAAATCTTACTAGTTAACAAGTAATTTTCAATTAAAACTTGGATATTTCGGGTATTCTATTCTGAGACTGGATGTTATTCATGGGCCCCACATGCTTCTGCTGCACTGCTTTGCTCCTCTGGGTCGCAATTAAGCCTTTGTTTTAGCTGGCTTCTTTTGATACACTCCACTTGTTACTGCAGGTGAGAGTAGAAGTCTAGGTTCCCCTCTAGTCTCCCCTGATAACACCCTAGTGGGCAGGCTAGGTGCACTGCATAATGACACTGTAGTTCAACAATGGATGCAACTCATTCCTCGTGTTTGTGGTGATGCTGGTGTAAACAGACCTACTGTGCTCCCAGTCATATAAAAGTACAGCATGCTCAGTTATGTAAAGTACATAATACTTTATAATGATATAAACAACTATGTTATAGGTTTATGTATTTACTATACTAAACTTCTTATCTGTAATTTAGAGTGAATTCTTTATACTTTTTAAAAATATATTTTTATTGATTTCAGAGGGGAAAGGATAGGGAGAAAGAGATAGAAACATCAATGATGAGAGAGAATCATTAATCAGCTTATATTTGTTTACATCCTTTTGCACATTCATTACTGAGGGTCGAGCCTGCAATCCGAGCATGTGCCCTTGACCAGAATTGAACCTGGGACCCTTCATTCTGCAGGCCAACCCTCTATCCACTGAACCAAACCAGCTAGGGCTCTCTCTCTTTCTTTTTAAAAAAATATATTTTATTGATTTTTTACAGAGAGGAAGGGAGAGAAGTAGAGAGAGTTAGAAACATTGATCAGCTGCCTCTTGCAATTCCCCCACTGGGGATGTGCCCGCAACCAAGGTACAAGCCCTTGACCGGAATCAAACCCAGGACCCTTGAGTCCGCAGGCTGACACTCTTTCCACTAAGCCAAACCGGTTTCAGCCTGGCTAGGGCTCTTTATTACTTATTTTAAAAAGTTAAAAAAAAAAAAAAAAAGTAAAGCATTATGCCATCTTACGTTGGTAGCAGCCTCATACATCCAGTGTTCACTGTGTCTCTTGAGTACATCATTTTCTCTTGTGCTTGATTTAATCTCGTGTTGTTTTGTACAGTACCATACATAGCCTAGGAGCAGCAAGTGCTACTAGGATACATCTAGGTTTGTGTAAATACAGTCTATGATGTTTGTACAAGACGAAATCGCCTAACATTGAATTTTTCAGACTGTATATGCATCAGTAAGTAGCAATGACTGTACTGCTAGTTTAGGGGAGAGGAATGGGCTCTCCAGGGGAACTTTACTGACACTGTGATGGAAGAGAGAGTTCATTTATCCACAGGCAAGGATAAAAGTCCTGGCTTCCTACTGGATCTTTGGTTGCATCAGTGAGAGTGGAGCTACATTTTTTTTCTGTCTGGGGTGTTTGGCTGGAGTAGAGTAGTTATTGTCTAAAAGTTGTCTGTCTTGCTAGGTTATCTCTTTCTTAGGTTTTTGGCTAGATAGAGCAGGTACTCATTGGTGTTATTTTGTCTCTGCCCATTGGCATTTCTAGTTTCCAAGTTTGGAATATGAAAGACAAAAAAAGAAAATCCAGCAAACTTAACCACCATGTTGTTTCTTAGGTCCTCATCCAAGGATATTTTTCTATTGATTTTTATAGAGAGTAGAACAGAGAGGGAGAGACAGAGAGAGAAACATCGATGTGAGAGAGACACATGCCCTTAAATGGAATTGAACCTGGGACCCTTTAGTCCATGGGCCGAGGCTCTATCCACTGAGCCAAACTGGCTACGGCTATTTATGACTACATTTTAAGGACCACAGATAATTGATGAAAGCTTTGATATGCTTGCTAAACATAGTGAAGTTTCTCAAAGGCCACAGTATGAAAACTTAACATGAAATGAAATCTGGGATGCAGAAATGGAGTTGGTTTTGTTCATATCTACATCTATACAATTGTATTTTAGAAATGTTTGTTAAATGAATAAGCTTTATTAACAAATTTTTCACTTTTTGTAGCCAGAAATTTTATCATCTGCATACTTGTCCGTGAAATAGATACAGCATAATTTATTTAACCATTTCCCTGAATTTATTTAACCACTTCCCTATAATTGGATATTTTGTAGTTTTTAAAAAGGTGTTTTTTTTCTGAATTAATAGTGCTGCAATTAATATTTTCATGAATAGAATCACCATCCCATATTTACTTACATAGTTACTTCTGTGAGCTGGAATCATAGAATTAGATATACTGAATAGGGGATATGAAAATTTTCATAGTTTTTGATACCTATTGCTTTTTATAAGGATTATATAAATTTATAGTGTTATTAATAACAAATGAAAGTGGTATCATCGTTAAGAGTTTTGCTGACTTGTATCTGTGATCTGGTGTGTTGTTTTTTTTCCCTGGATTTCTTTCAGATTCTTGTCTTTTACTTTTTACGATGTCTTCTGGCTTTTGTGAGCTGTATCTGTGAACTTTACTTTTACAAGTGAGTATAAAAGCTTTGTTTTTAAAAGTGCTATGAGGAAACCCAATGAAGCATAGATTATTTTTCTGATAGTATTAGCAATGTTTAAAAATAGAAAGCACTTTCCTTCTAGCTTCTAATATTATATCTCAAATGTGACCACTTGTTTGAAACAAACTGTTGGAAGGGGAATAATTCTAATGATCACTTTTTCCCTCCTGAGTTTCATAAATACTATAACTTCATATTATTAATTCTAATTCCGTTAATATATATCTAACTAGTCTTCTCTTTGGGAGGATTTAGTAGACATTATTTTGGGTCCTAAGATATAGATAGGATCATAATGATTTACCTCTTCCTCTCAATCTTAACTGACAGGAACTTATTCCCAGTGTGGGACTCATTGCTCTTATTTGCATCCAGTAAATGAATTTCACCAACTACCTATTGTTTGCTTGAATATTAGTGTTTTAGTAATAAAAATAGCTCATTCTTTTTACATGATGCCTAACCAACATCTTATTTTGTTAATGCTATAAAAGGTATTTGGACTTAATGATCATTATTAAAAATCTTCCTACTGCAAAACAGCTAAAAATGTCAGATAAAAAAGTAGTTGGCCTTGACTCTGAGTGGAATAGAGAAGAAAAAGGAAAGTTATTCTGCCTTTGAGGATTATCACCATAAGTTGGGCATCATATGGGCTCAGGATTGAATTCAAATCACCCACATGGTCTCCCAATCCCCAAGATGAATTTGTTTGAAATTGTTCTGGGATGGTAGTGCTCTCACTGTAAGTGTAAATGTAAATGTAAAATTTTGTTAAAGGAGTGAATTCTTAATCCAAGTGTCAGAGAATGACCACAGGTAAAGTTTTAGCGAACAAGACATTAGAATAAAAATAAATCATAGAGCACAAATGGGAACAAGGCACTATGCCTGAGAGCCAACAGACATAATGACAGATAGCTGATCTTTTAATAATTAGGAATTATTAAAAGGAGAATATGTCCTAACTAGTTTGGCTCAATTGATAGAGCATTGGCCTGTGGACTGAAGGGTCCCAGGTTCGATTCCAGTCAAAGGCACACACACGCCCGGGTTGTGGGCTTGATCCCCAGTAGGGGGCATGCAAGAGGCAACCAGTCAATCATTCTCTCTCATCATTGGTGTTTCTCTCTCTCTCTCCCTCTTCCTTCCTCCCTGAAATCAATAAAAATAAGGTTTTTTTTTTTTTTTTTTTTTTTTTTTTTATTTATTTATTTATTTTTTTTTATTTTACATATTTTATTGATTTTTTTTTTGCCCCCCTTCTTCCCTCCCATGTATCCCCTCCCTCCCCAGAGTTTTATGTCCATTGGTTGTACTTATATGCAGGTATACAAGTCCTTGGGTTGATTTATTGTCTCCCCCAGACCCTCCTCCCCTCCCCGTTGTAATTTGACAATCTGCTTGTTGCTTTACTGTCTCTATATCTATCTTTTGGTTCATCAGTTTATAATGATCTTTATTATCCACAAATGAGTGGGGTCATGTGGTGTTTCTCTTTCATTGATTGGCTTATTTCACTCAGCATGATGTTCTCCAATTCCATCCAGGTTGCTGCAAATGATGAGAATTCCTTCTTTTTTATGGCAGCATAGTATTCCATTGTGTAGATGTACCAAAGTTTTTGGATCCAATCATCAGCTGACGGGCACCTCGGCTGTTTCCAGATTCTGGCTATTGTAGATTGTGCTGCTATGAACATAGGGGTGCATATATCCTTTCTGATTGGTGTTTCTAGTTTCTTGGGATATATTCCAAGAAGTGGGATTACTGGGTCAAATGGGAGTTCCATTCTCAGTTTTTTGAGGAAACTCCACACTGTTCTCCACAGTGGTTGCACCAGTCTGCATTCCCACCAGCAGTGCACGAGGGTTCCTTTTTCTCCGCAACCTCGCCAACACTTGTCGTTTGTTGATTTGTTGATGTTGGCCATTCTGACAGGTGTGAGATGGTACCGCATTGTTGTTTTGATTTGCATCTCTCGGATAATTAGTGACTTTGAGCATGTTTTCATGTGCCTTTTGGCCTTCTTTCTGTCTTCTTTTGTAAATATTCTATTTAGGTCCATTGCCCATTTTTTAATTGGATCATTCATCTTCCTTTTATTTAGTTGTATCAGCTGTCTGTAGATGTTGGAGATTAAACCTTTATCCGTGGTATTATTTGCAACTATATTCTCCCATACCGTGGGCTTTCTTGTTGTTTTGTTGATGGTTTCTTTTGCTGTAAAAAAACTTTTTATTTTGATGTAGTCCCATTTGTTTATTTTCTCTTTAGCTTCCATTGCCCTAGGGGCAGTATCAGTGAAGAAGTTCTTTTGGCATACGTCTGAGATTTTGCTGCCTGCGGATGCTTCTAGTATTTTTATGGTTTCCCGTCTGATGTTTAAGTCCTGTATCCATTTTGAGTTTATTTTTGTGTATGGTGTAAGTTGGTGATCTAGTTTCATTCTTTTGCATGTGTCTACCCAATTTTCCCAACACCATTTATTGAAGAAACTGTCTTGACTCCATTGTATATTCGTGCCTCCTTTGTCAAATATTAATTGAGCATAGTGATTTGGGTTGATATCTGGGTTCTCGATTCTATTCCATTGATCTATATGTCTGTTCTTGTGCCAGTACCAGGCTGTTTTGAGAACAGTGGCTTTGTAATACAGTTTGAAGTCTGGTATTGAGATCCCTCCTACTTTACCCTTCTTTCTCAGGATTGCTGTGGCTATTCGGGGTCTTTTATTGTTCCAAATGAACTTTTGGAGAGTTCTTTCTAGGTCGGTGAAATATGCCGTTGGTATTTTAATGGGGAGTGCATTGAACCTATAGATTGCTTTAGGAAGTATGGACATTTTGATGATGTTGATTCTACCGATCCATGAACATGGTATATTCTTCCATCTCTTTACATCTTCCTCTATCTCTTTTTTCAGTGTCATGTAGTTTTCTGCATATAGGTCCTTTACTTCCTTAGTTAAATTTATTCCTAGGTACCTTAATTTTTTTGGTGCGATGGTAAATGGAATTGCTTTTTTAATCTCTATTTCTATAGTTTCGCTGTTGGTGTATAGAAATGCCGTGGATTTCTTGGCATTAATTTTGTATCCTGCTACATTGCCAAATTCATTTATTAAGTCAATTAGTTTTTTAATGGAGTCTTTTGGGTTTTTTATGTACAGTATCATGTCATCTGCAAATAAGGATAACTTTACTTCTTCTTTTCCAATTTGGATGCCTTTTATTTCCTCCTCTTGTCTAATTGCAATGGCTAGTACTTCCAGTACTATGTCAAACAGGAGTGGCGAGAGTGGGCATCCCTGTCTTGTTCCTGTTCTTAGAGGGAATGGTTTTAGTTTTTGCCCATTGAGTATAATGTTGGCTGTGGGTTTATCATATATAGCTTTTATTATGTTGAGGTATGATCCTTGTACTCCCACCTTGTTAAGAGTTTTTATCAGGAAAGGGTGTTGGATTTTATCAAATGCTTTTTCTGCATCAATTGATATGACTATATGATTTTTATCTTTCAGTTTGTTTATGTGATGTATCACGTTTATTGATTTGCGGATATTGTACCATCCTTGCATTCCTGGAATAAATCCTACTTGGTCATGGTGTATGATCTTTGTGATGTTCATCTGGAGTCTATTTGCTAGAATTTTGTTGAGGATTTTGGCATCTATGTTCATGAGGGATATTGGCCTGTAATTCTCTTTCATTGAGTTGTCTTTATCTGGTTTTGGTATTAGGGTGATGCTGGCTTCATAGAAGGAGTTTGGAAGTGTTCCTTCCTCTTGGATTTTTTGGAATAGTCTGAGGAGGAAAGGTTTTAGTTCTTCCTTGAATGTTTGGTAAAACTCTCCTGTGAAGCCATCAGGCCCTGGGCTTTTGTTTGCTGGAAGCTTTTTGATGACTGTTTCAATTTCTTCCCACGTCACTGGTCTATTAAGATTTTTAGATTCTTCCTGATTGAGTTTTGGAAGGTTGTATTTTTCTAGGAATATGTCCATTTCGTCCAGGTTGTTCAGTTTGTTGGAATAGAGTTGTTCGTAGTATTTTGTAACAATCTGTTGTATTTCGGTGGGGTCTGTTGTTATTTCACCTCTTTCATTTCTGATTTTGTTTATTTGGGTCCTCTCTCTTTGTTTCTTGGTTAGCCTGGCTAGAGGTTCATCTATCTTGTTTATTCTTTCAAAAAACCAGCTCTTGGTTTTGTTGATCTTATGTATTGTTTTTTTGGTCTCTATGTCGTTTATCTGTGCTCTGATTTTTGTTATTTCCTTCCTTCTGCTTACACTGGGCTTTTCTTGTTGCTCCTTTTCTAATTCTTTGAGTTGTAGAGTTAGATCATCTGTTACCCTTTTTTCTAGTTTTTTGCAATAGGCTTGTAAGGATATGAACTTCCCTCTCAACACTGCTTTTGCTGTGTCCCATAGATTTTGGATTGTTGTGTTTTCATTGTCATTTGTTGCCAGGATGTTTTTAATTTCTTCCTTGATTTCTCTGGTAACCCAGTCCTTGTTTAATAGCATGCTGTTTAATCTCCATGTGTTTGATTTCTTTGGATTATTTTTATTGTAGTTAATTTCCAGTTTTATGCCATTATGGTCTGAGAAGATACTTGATACGATTTCTATCTTCTTAAATTTGAAGAGACTTTGCCTATGTCCCAAAATGTGGTCTATCTTTGAGAATGTCCCATGTGCACTTGAGAAGAATGTATATTCTGCGGCTTTGGGGTGGAGTGTTCTGAAGATGTCAATTAATTCCATCTGGTCTAGTGAGTCATTTAGGATTGATATTTCTTTGCTGATTTTTTGTTTAGATGATTTGTCAAAGGGTGACAGAGGGGTATTAAAATCTCCTACTATGATTGTATTGCTATGAATCTCTCCCTTAATGTCCTCCAGCAGTTTTTTTATGTATTTGGTTGCTCCTGTATTGGGTGCATATATATTTACCAGGGTAATTTCTTCT